CGGGCCACGAAGTAGCCAGGGTCTAAGGCAGCCGGGGCCACAGGACTCCTGGGGCCTGGAGGCAGCCAGGGCCATGAGGGTCCCGGCAACTGGGGCTTCGAAGGCCTACCCTTGCATGAATTTCATGTATCAGGCCCCTAGTATAAGATAAGGAGACACACTGAGGAAATACAAATAATGGAAAAATATTATTCTTGTCTTCCAGGAGCTCAAACCAATGAAGAGCAAATATATAAAGAAATGGTAAAATTATACCACAAAATTGAGGACAGCGGTAAGAGCTTATTTCTGGAAAAGGGCAAGGATGCATTCTTCTGTAAATTTGAGAGATAGATGATTGGAAATGCTACAGACACTTTTTCAGGATAAGGCTGGAGAAAATGCATTTCAGAACTCTTATCTTCTTTCTAACCTAGTAAATAAAGTCATCTGCTGCTTTGTAAGTGGGCTTGTTGTTTCAAGGTCAGTAAAAAAAGTTTGCAATGGCCATTGAGAACACAATAGGAAAGAGATTTCTTATTATGTCTGTCACTAATAGTAGTCTATCAATAAATAAAAAATAAAGACATGATTTTTTTCCTCAATATATAATGCAAGAACATTCTCTAATGATCTTCTTTTAGGTCAGAGAATATTTGGTAGGCCAAGCAATTTCTGTTAGTAATTCTGTACAGACAGTTTTTTTAATTAAATATACATTAGAGAAAATGATTTCTCTCCCTTTAGAGTCTAGACTTAGGGCTCTGTAGCCTGAGTCCTTTAAATATATGAAAACTAGCTATGTTTATTTTATTAGTTATAAAGTCTCATAACTCTCAAGCCCCATATCCAATTTGTATCTCTAAAATGACTTTTTATAAACCAGAATAAACATATAATCTTTTTTCTGCTAACCATAAGCTATTTATCCAGACCAATTAAAAATGTTTGAACATTTAATATTTTCTTGTGGTTTTAAAATACATGACTAGGCTATGCACATAGAGCATGCTTTTGCTACGATACTTCATTTTAACTCTTCCAGTTCACTTGCTCTTTTCAAGCCTGCTTTTGAGGAGCATTATTATTAGCAATCAGAATCAAAATCTACAGCAATACTATTTCCCCCATAGACCCAACGTGGAGGGCGTGGAGGTTATCCTGGAGCTGAGAAGCAGTCGCTGTAGCTGAAGGACCAAGGCTCAGAACTCAATTGGGTTTGATCTACAAAGTGAAGTTGGGTCACATGATCTCACTCATTTGTGGAATATAATGAACAACATAAACTGTTGAACAAAAACAGATCCAGAGACGGAGAAGCATTGATCAGATACTCAAACCTCAGAGAGAAGGTAGGGGAGGGTGGGGGTAAGGGGGAGAGATCAACCGAAGGATTGTATGCAGGGCATATAAGTATAAGCGATGGACACAGACAACAGGGGGTGAGGGTGAGGGCAGGACTGGGGGGATGAGAGGACAATGGGGGAATAAGGACACATTTGTAATACCTTAATCAATAAAGAAAAAAAAACTGACAGTATTCAAAAACTGTTTCCTGCTTACATTTCCCAATCTTCTCTTTCCCATTCCTAAATCCATGAATTTATTTATTGAGATTAGCTAGCAGAAGGTTAGCTCTCCTGTTGAGCATTGAGTCCTCAAGTGCCACCCACCTCCTCTCATAAGTTCCCCACACTTCATTGCATTAATCCCATAGCCCTGTTATTAGGCATTTATTTTTCTGCCTGTTTTACTAGATCCAGAGAACCTGAGAGTGAGAGACAAATTATTTGTATCAGCATTAGTGTTAGTATTCGTATTTAGATGCTCAGCATGCTAAGTAAACAGCTGGAATTCTGCATCGGCCAATAAATGCCCACTACATAAACAAATGAGCAAGGCTGTCAATAGAGCTCCTATGCTATTAATGTTTTTGTCAATGATTTAAATCAGAGACTGAATGAGACCTGAAGAACATTTTTAAATTGATTTTTGCCAGAGAAGCATGTTGTTAGGTTACATTTTCGTACCTTTAGGCAA